GGGGCAAAATAAATGAGTTACACAGTCTTTTTTGGCGATTAGTTCAACGAAAAGTTCTAAATGCAGAGCGGGTACATATAATGCTAGCAAGGTCCCACTCCCAACACTTTCAAGGTTTCAAAATTGGACTCTATTTAACACATTACGCCGAATGCTATTCGATCTTATCAAGGTAGCTGCAATTTTTTTGTATACTTTCTATCAATCACATAATACATACCCTCAATTTCAACTATCATTTAATAAATGCGTTAGATCATGCCTAAACAAATGTGAGCAGTTCAAATTAGATGAGATAGATTAGTCAGATGCAAAACAGCGCAGAAAACATCAAAAGCCGAGGAAAGCCGGGTATGCCCTAGTTCTAAATAAGTACAATGAATGGTAGGATAATATCAGGACATAGAAAGGCAGTTTTATGCGGAAGCTAGACATTTGTGTACATTGCGTGGAGGTGTTACTGCCATATGATCACCGAAGCGCCGACAGATTGGATGTCCGAAAGAACAATCGGGGATAGTCACAAATCACACAGAGAACAGGAAATTATGCTTAATTCTTATAGGAGCACGTTTTTTTGGATTCTGGAAATAGTTTGAATCTATGAACTCTCATCTTATAAGGCTATAAGAAAATCGGAACATCTATGTGATATTTAGTGCCATGTTTGGGTCTCAGTTTGCTATGCAACCAAGTTTTCTGACTGCGAAACTCAAAGTACACTTTCTCGAAGGCGTTGAGGTGCGGTCGCAATGTGACATGACCATTGCAGAAGCTAGCAGTTCAAGGTGGGCCTAGCGTCAGGTTTGAACGCGCTAGAATTGAACGTTCAAAGCGAGGTCTACTGTCTAGTGTTCCCTCGGCGAGAAAGCGGCGGCTATCTATACGCGCCCGTGCCTTGCACTATAATTCTGATCGAGGTTAATTTGGACCTGAGGAGTTAACTTTGACATATGCTTTTGAACACATAACTTTCGTGATTTGAGCTGACATAGTCAATTCCCAACATAACAAAAATGCTGTCGAGCAGAGGAGCGACGCGCCGACGCTTCTGTGTTAGACGCTGAAAATTATAAGTAGGGTTTGTTTCTAAAGCGCAGGAGAATAGTACGTTTTTTCCAGTTTCTTTTTATTTTCCTCTTTTTTTCGGTATATGTTAACAGCCCACTCCAGCAGGTGTTTGGTTGCCTTTTCTGTAAGTTAAAGGAAACGATGTTCTCTCCGCTCGCGATTTTGTGGAGTCGTTTTTCTACGCATCTTCGTGATTCATGCAATTTCGTCGTATGTTTGATAGTCTTTCATGTTGGTCGACCAAAATCTCAGAAACAAATTTGATGCCAAGAAAATAAGTGCCCTCGCGGTTATAACAATGAAGTGTGCAAAGAAAGAGGCAATACTTCAGCAACTTTCTCTGGGACAAAGGGCTTTTATGACAACTTGGAAATGATATAAAAGCCACGATAGAGGGGAAGTACAACAATGAATGGAATACGTAACTACACAAAAAGCGCCCATTGATCCAGGAACTTGCTAGCATTCTACTTATTATGACTGACATCTTATATCTGACAGCGAAGAGAGGAATCTAGAAGAAAAATCTACATACTATCCTCTTGTCTGCAAAACTGTTTTTCGAATTTCTCACGCTCATAGTTCAGCGTCGGCGCACCGCTCCCTTTTCCGCAAGCGTTTTTGTTATCTTATGTTAATCGACTATGAATCCACTAACGCTGCTTTCCAATTTAAAAGATTTGGAGGGGCTCATTTAGTGATCAGTGGTACGAACATTGGGTGATTATGTGGTAACCAATGTCCAGATAGCAACAAGAACAAACGAAATAAAGTCTGATTCTAGATCTTTTGCGATCTACTTCACCTATCGTAATTGAACAAGTAACAAACAGTTGACAAGGTATGATTGTGCCGTCCTCTTTTCATGTTCTCTTCTTAAAGTAAAACTAGTGTGAATTTTCATGTGATATTGTTTGCAAAGATTTCAGTCATGAATACTACCACTAAGTTATTGTTCAGCATTAGAGTTATTGTAGGTCTATGGTTCAAGTGGGTGATCGAATTCTGGTCGGTGAATATGCAGCCACTGTGCGTTACATAGGGAATGTGGCGGGTCATCCAGGAGTTTGGGTAGGCGTGGAGTGGGATGATCCAAGCCGCGGAAAACACGATGGGCTTGTTAACGGCATACGATATTTCACTACATCGTCAGTTTTTACATTGGTTTATAAATTGGCCTATTCGCGCAAATAACTGCGTGTAGCCCAACTCAAATCCATGATAGTATAGTAGGCTTGTAACTTCCTTCATCTAATTTTCTTTTTCTAACCTGTGAAGAATTTTCCAGTTTACTGCTAGAAATCTACAAAATATGAAACTCCGTCTTTGTTTAATACTTTGTTCAGATCTCAGAAAGGAGGATCTCTAGTCAAAATTGAGAATGTC